CATCCGTCATATTGGGCAGACTCTTAAGGAGTTTATTAGTGAGCTATTGGCTAGATTATAAGAATCTAAGCATCTTAATGGAGACAAGAAGGACCTTATATACAGAAAGATTATGGGTGGTATCTAGGAGTGGCCAAGTAGTCTATGAGGTAATAGAACTCCAGGGGTGGCCAAGGGAGAATGGAGCCTAGATAGGATTAAGGGTGGGAAGTGGCCCGGAGACTTAGAGAGGACTTGGCTAGGTTAAGGGTAACAGAGAATTGGGAGATTGGGTGTAGCCACAAAGAAAGACCAGTTGGTGTGGTTATAGCCTCAGGCAAATGCCAGAGATTTGGCCATGTGGGAAAGTCCAGGATTTTTCCTTTTTGGGGTCCAGATCCCATCCTCATCACAGGCACAGAGCTCTAGTATTCTATCACATATAACACCACTATATGTATAAAAGTTATATCACTATAACTTATTTAGCCATTCCCCAGTTGATGGGCACCACCTTCTTTACAGTTCTTTCCCATTTGCCATTCATCCGGTCAACTTTCTGGGCTACTATATTTTTGTACATCTTTAGTTAGAATTTTTTTGCTTAGAACTAAATCCTCCTTTAGTTTATCCTCCCTCTTATTTACCCCTGTCCCTTCTCCCCTTTCCCTCCTATTTCTCTGTTGAGTGAAATTTATTTCTGTACCCAGCTGTGTGTGTATAATATTCCTCCTTCCTTTCACCAATTCAGAGGAAAGTGAGGTTTATGTGTCACCTACTCCCCCAATTCACTTCCTCCTTGTTTGTATAGGGTTTTACTTGCACATCCTAGTTATATTAGATAATTTTTGCTAACTTTCATGTCCCTTTTCCTCGAATGTATTCCTCTTCCTCTCCCTTCTCATTGTTCTTTTAAGATCATCAAGGTATAATAACCGCTCCCCCTCCTTTGACTAAATGGACTACCTTGATGACCCCTTATTATGATTATAAGTTTCAGAGGGGACACATATCATCTCCCAATACTACAACGTAAACAGTTTATCCTTGTTTGATCCCTTATGATTGTTTGCTTATACATTAATCTTTTAATGTTTCTCTTGATTCTTGTGTCTCTACTTTCAAGTTTTGATGTATCTCTGATCTTTTCATCAAGAATGCTTAGAAGTCTTCTCTTTTTTTTTTTTTTGGTGAGGCAATTGGGGTTAAGTGACTTGCCCAGGGTCACACAGCTATATAAGTGTCAAGTGTCTGAGGCTGGATTTGAACTCAGGTCCTCCTGACTCCAAGGTCAGAGTTCTATCCACTGTGCCACCTAGCTGCCCCAAAAGTCTTCTATTTCATTAAAGATCCCTTTTCCCCCTGTAGTATTAAATACTAAGTTTTGCTAAATGTGTTTATTTTGGCTGTCAACCTATATCTTTGCCTTATGTGATATCATATTCCAAGCTGTCTGCTTCTTTATGGTGGTGACTGGTAAATGTTGTGTGATCCTGACTATGCTTCCTCAGTACTTGAATTTCTTTTTTAAATTTATTTATTTTTAGTTTTCAGCAATCACTTTCCTATGCTTTTGAGTTTAAAATTTTCCCCCCCTCCCTTCCCACCTCCCTCCCAAAGATGACATGCAATCTGATATAGGCTCTACATACACATTCCTATTAAACGTATTTTCACATTGGTCATTTTGTAAGGGAGAATTAGAACCAATAGGAGGAACCACAAGAAAGAGGAAACAAAGCAAAACAGAAGGAAAAAAAAAAGTAAATAGTATGTTTCGATCTGCATTCAAACTCCAAAGTTCTTTGTCTGAATGTGGATAGCATTTTTCATTATGAGTCTTTTGTAATAGTCTTAGATGATTGCGTTGCTGAGAAGAGCTAAATCTTTCAAAGTTAGTCATTGAATAACGTGGCTGTTACTGTGTACATTGTTCTCCTGGTCCTGCTCATTTCACTTAGCATCAGTCCATATAAGTCTTTCCAGGTTTTTCTGAAGTCTGCCTGCTCATCATTTCTTATATATATACCATATATATATATATATATATGGTATACATTCATATACCACAACTTGTTCAGCCATTCCCCAGTTAATAGGCATCCTCTCAATTTCCAGTTCTTTGCCACCACAGAAAGAGCTGCTATAAATATTTTTGTGTGTGTGGGTCCTTTTCCCATTTGTATGATCTCTTTGGAATACAGCCCTGGAAGTGCTATTGCTGGGTCAAAGGTTATACACATTTTTATAGCCTTTTGGGCATAGTTCCAAATTGCTCTCCAAAATGGTTGGATCAGTTCACAATTCCACCAGCAATGTATTAGTGTTCCAATTTTCCCACATCTTATCCAACATTTATCATTTTCCAGTTTTGTCATTTTGGCCAATCTGATGTGAATACTTGAATTTTTCTGGATTCTTGAAGTATTTTTCTTTGACCTAGGAGCCCTGGATTTGGGCTATATTGTGCGTGGGAGTTTTAATTTAGAGGTTTCTTTCAGGAGGTAATTGGTAGGTTCTTTCTATTTCTGCTCTGCCCCATGATTCTAAAAGACCTGGCAGTTTTCTCTGATGATTTCATGAAATATGATGTTTTGGCTCTATTTTTTGGTCATGGCTTTCGGAAAGTCCAATGATTCTTAAATTTTCTCTTCTTAATCTGTTTTCCAGGTGAGTTTTTGCTATGAGTCACTTGAATTGTCTTCTATCTTTTCAGTCTTTTAGCTGTGTCTTAATAATTCTTATTGTCTCATGGAGTCATTAGCTTCTATTTGGTCCATTCTAATTATCAGGAATTTTGTTGCTTGGACAAGGTTTTGTACCTCTTATGTCACAATATTAATTCTCTTTCCGATTCTTTCTTCTGTGGCTTTTATTTTCCGTTCTTTCATTTAGTGCTCCCATTTCATCTACCCAAAAAAAATTAACTTCCTTTTTAAAAAAACTCTTATTCCAAGAATTCTAGCTGAACTTAGGCCCAAGCTCTGTTTTTTTTTTACCTTGAGGCTTTAGGTGTTTCAGAGTCAATCCTTTTCTTCTGCATTTGTATCTTGATTCTCCCTGATACCATAATAGCTTATTGTGGTAGGGTGTTGGTTTTTGTTTGGTTGGTTGGTTTTTTTTCTGAATTTAGACTTAATATTCGACCTGGACTCTGCAATACCTCTCTATCTCACTCTCTCTCTCTCTCTCTCTCTCTCTCTCTCACTCTCTCACTCTCTCATTCATCAGAGTTAAGTGATTTGTCCAGGGTCACACAGCTAGTAAGTGTCTAAGGCTAGATTTCAACTCAGGTCCTCCTGACTCCAGCTTCAGTAGTCTATCTACTGTTGCCTTCTTCAGGTGTTATGCTATTGCAGGATCTCAGGGACAGGTTGTACAACTGTAAGCTTTCAGTGCTATCAGGGTGGTCTGATCCAGGACAAAGTCTGGTAGCTATCTCCCTGGTCTCAACTTTACAATTTGCTAACCTGGTTTGGATATGTGCAAGAGTAGCTGCTACTGGACTCTGTCCCTATCAGATAGCTAGAAAGCTCTGTTGGTTCATAGTAACAGGATTGTAGGGTCTCCTTTTGTTTGATTCCCTCCTTGGTTGTTCCTCTACAGGCTTTGAATTAAGGTCAGAGCCAAAAGCTGCTGTTTACTTCTGAACTTGCTCTTTGGGAGGTACATAGTCGAGAGTCCACAACTGCTTCTCACCCTCGAATGCTACTCCACAACACAGGTTCCCCCCTCCGTCTACCCTGGATCTTGTGACCCATAACTGAGTAGTAAGCTACAAAGTTGCCAGTTAGCACCTACTCCTGCAACCTGCACAAGGTCAAGACATTCTGTGATGGATCTGGGACCTCTTCTTCCTCTCATTACATAGCTTCTCCTTGCACTGGAATGCTCCATGGAACCATTCCTGCGTAGATGTCTTTCCCAGTATCTGCAGACCTGTTTTCTGTTGCTGATATGAGATAGAAAAATTACTACCTGTGATTTTTTTTCTTCTTGGATTTCCCAGTCCAGACTTGGTCTGGTGGGTTTTCTATATTTGTATAGAAGAGTTCTTCCTGCTACTCTGCTATTTTAGCTCCTTCTCTTGTGAATCACACCCTTAATACCCTCTTACTTTCTGCATCCCTTTTTCAGTATTAAGAGGGAAAGGATATCAAGAGTATTGTTTTTTTCGGAGCTGGTGGTATGGGCTAAAAACAGGAATTAAGAATTCTTTATGTTATGAAGAACAAATTTCAGAGAAAGTCTTAAGTATAGCAAAGCCTAACATTCATTTGCTTTAATTATTGTTATATGCAAAAGCGTGCCTTTGTTGACATAGCATAACTTGTCATAAATGAAACCTCAAATATTTGTAAAAAAAAAAAAATAGAGGAGAGGGTTTATTTAGAGAACCTCTATGCCTAGTGAGTCCATTAATTATCATTTAAGTCAAAAAAATTAGGAAAAGGAGTCTTCTGCCTACCACCTACCACCAACTGTTGTTGGGCATGTCTTAATTTTTGTGTATAAATGTAAAACAAGTTTCCTTAGCATGAACTGTCTAAGGTCTTATAGATGGTAAAGCAAATATTTGAAATAAAATGTGTATTTATAGTTGGATTGAAGTAAGAAAGGAAGCAGAGAAACACAATTTTAATAAGGAACCAATGGATGAACAAGATTCTAGCACAATAATTAACATATTAGCAATGTGTCTTGTCCAGCTGGAGTCTATGGCCATGAAGCAAGAGTTAAAATAAAACTATGATGTTGTCTATGTTCTGAGTTAACTGGCCAAGAAATTCAAGTAACTTGATTTGATTATTATCAAAGTAGGACCATTTTGAACTAAAGCTACAAAAATGAAAAGATCAATATTCAATTACTAATCCTTTTAAGTAGCCAATTTCACTAACAGACATATTATAACTTTTAGAAAAGGTTTGGAGAACTAATTCCCAGGTTTTAAGAATTTTAAATGAATAATTATAATGTCTTGTTGCACTAAACTGACATTTTGTTTTGTTCTTCCCTAGGAGATTGACAGGTCATTCCTTCCACATGGGCTACAGCATGGCAATTTTGAATGGCATTGTGGCTGCTCTCACAGTAGCATGGTGCCTCATGTGAATCCACATTGGTTCCCTGGCAAAATCATTTTCTACCGAATGCAGAACATCTGATTCATGTTTTTTTAATAACATAGAAGAGTATCATTTCCCATTTTAAAAGACAGGATTATCTACTATTCATTGAATGCTTCAAATTCATCATCATTAACAACAAACCACCACCCTGTTGAGGTATTCTGTGTAGGTCACTGTCCTAGATAAGGAGAATCTCCAGCTTTTAAAGTTTCAGGTGCTTTCATATGGAATTTGAGAGTTTTACCTCATTTTTTAACATTTGTATGTTTATATGTTTTGTTTTGTTTTTTTTAAAAGAAAGTAATCCTAAAACTTGAATGCAGGTCCTAAACTTGACAGTATGCTTCTATATAAGTATACTGCCCTTCCATTAAGAAACATCAGAATTACTGAAATAGTAGAATTGTAATTCTGATTTTTATATTATATTAAGTTAGTGTTATTAGATTAGTAAAGGAAACACATGCTTCCTACTTTTACATTTCATAGTTAAAAATTGTTGGTGACTTGTACAATCAGAATTTTTAGACTTTGAATTATTCATTCACTAAGAATTATATTTATAGATATTTTTCTATTTTAGTATGCATTTTATAGTGCTTTTTGTATTTTTAAATTTTATTTTGAATTCTTTTAACATCAGTGCCAATTTAAGAGATTTTCAAAGTTAAAAAGTAATTTTAGAATGTCATTAATTGGTTTGTATCTAGTTCCTTACTCTCATTGCACATTGTTTTGCTTTTGGTTTTGTTTTTTTAAAGGAAAAAAAAACACACTACAACACTAGATTTTTAATCATATTTTTATAAAAATAACTTGTTTTATTTATTATAAGAATTGATTTAAAAAGTAAACATTGAGATTAGAAAATCACCTCAATTCTAGACTATGGAATTTGAAATAAGTTCTTCTTTCTAACACCAAAATTAGATTAGGAAAGCTTGTGATGTCAATCTACTTGCATAAGATAAGCAAGAATACAAAATTTTCATCACATTTCCCCAATTTTGGTTAAATATTTTGCTATGTAAAGTGATTTAATGAATAAGTTTTCTAATAGCATGGAATTTGTGTGTGTGTGTGTTTAGTGTCTTTAAAAAGCAAAAAATTACGATGGCTGCTGTAAGGTAAACAAAATAATGTGGAGTACTTTCACAGATTAATGGGGTCTGGAATGTATATTTAAATCAATGAGGATTAAGTATTTAACAGTTGTTTTAGTGATTAACTGCTCAAATTCTTAAGGATATTTACATCTTATTGTGAATGACTCTATTCGGAATAAATGCTAAGATCACCTCTTTGAACATAAATATTGCCAAAAGCTTTCATACCACTTAGCAGTCCCTTCTAGTCTGGTGCTAACGTGGTATTTCCTTTCACTAGGATACCAACACATTACATCAGAAATTCTGATGGTCATCATTCTTTGTGACAAAGAATGATATATCTAGGAAATTTTGTTTAATGATGTGGTTGGCCCATGGTCTGTCTTCCCTTTTTTTCTGGTTTGACCTAGCTTGATGTGAAAACCATCAGTATTGTCTCACTACATCTCTTTGGAAAGGCACATAGATGATGCTCTTTGTGGCCATAACCAAGAAATGGACTCATTGATCTCAAAGTGCTTTGAAGCTTACTAAAAATCTGTTCTGTTTTTAATCTATATGCTACTTCATAAGGAATTGGTCTTTAAATCAGAAAAAAAGAATTTTAATTGTCTCTTACTGATCTGTTATTCTTTGAAAATGTTGTTCTTGTTAGACAAATTATGTAGCAACACATGCAGTACTGCTAGTATGTATCAGGAATATAAATCCATTTCTACAGATTTTTTTGTGGCATTAAATAAGGTAAAGACATATTTGTTAGATTTCAGAGGTACTTTGCTCCCTAAGAGCAATATCACTTCCAACTGAGACGATCACTGTTAAACCTTCCAAAGGAGCTCTTACCTCTTAAGAAGTTATGAACATTTCAGCAATAAGTACGTATAAAGAATGCTAATAACAATAATAACACATTTATATAGTGCTTTAAGGTTTGAAAAATGCATTACAAATATCTCATTTTAACCTCACAACAACCTCAGGAGGTAGGTGCTATTATCATCTCCATTTGACACATGAGGAATCTGAGGCAGAGAGAGATTATAGGATCTTTACCAGAGTCACATTATGGCTAGTCAGTGTATGAGACAGGATTCAATCCCAAGTCTTCCTTGACTCCATGTCCAGCTCTATTCATTGTACAACCTTGATTCCTAGTTTAAGGAAATAGAATATTTCAAATAGTTGAGGCAGTATTGCTTTTGTCTTGTAACCAATTTGTTTTTGCTTTTGATTCTATTTTTTTCCTCAGGGGATAAACCAGTTAGCTGATAAAAAGCTCCTTCATTTTTGGGGTTTTGACTAATCTATTCTCTGATGTTTCTTGAAGTATGTTATGTATAGATGAAGCAAATCACTAATAAGAGAAATGCAAATCAAAACAACTCATTATTTTACTTGAGACTCAGTCAGTTGGTAATGAAGCCATCCGTACTGGAGGGGCTGTGGAAAAATAGGCACACAAAGTGGTCCAACTCTCCTGTAAAATATTTTGGAATTATACAAGGCAAGTGAATAACCATGTCCTTTGAGCCAGTAATTACATAGACAGAATATTAGTTCACACTGTGATTATATATGTGTACCTGATGGGTGATAAAGAAATAATACTCACCTCTCACTCCTCCCCAGCATGTTATGAAAACTAATGGCTGTTTATGAAATGCCTTATCTCAAAACTCTGCTTAAAGAATAGATACCAAGTATTTCATAATTATTTTAATCCATTTGTCTAAGGTCACAAATTTGAATCCCTCCAAGGTCAGATATCCCTCCTCTTCTTCCTGCCTCCCCAACACCCACACCCACTCACACATACACACACAAAATATATGGAAGAACTATAGAATCATACAACTGAAAGGAACCTTAGAGATTATCCTAGTCAAATCTTTTCATTTTATAAATGAGGAAACTGAGACAGAAGAAAGTTAAATCACTGCAGTTATTTCATATAATTAATGAGAGAACTAGGACTAGAACCCACATCTTACAGTTCCTAGTCCTTACCAAGCTTCCTCTTGTTCTGTATTTATTTTTCACTTTCAGTTTTGGGAAGAAAATTGTAATTTTTTTCTCTATATAATTTCTTCCTTTTGACAGTAGACTGCTATGTCTGGCATCAGGAGCCACTCAGAAGGCTGGGTGAGAGCAGAGCCATATAAGCAGATACGAACAACTGTCAAAAAAGGGAGATTGCTTAATTATTAATTTGCTTATTCTTAAACCATCAGAGGTTCAACCTGGAAAAGTTTGTTATAAACTATAACTTTTGTGCTATATCCTGTCAGTTCATATAAATAAGCATAATTCTTTTTTTTCCTAGTTAGCAAAATTGCCCTAAATATGGTGTATTAGCTATAGCCTTATCATGGTCTTCATTGAAATATTGTCTTCAGCCTGTCTATTCTTGTTGCATTTGTGAGATTCTTCATGTTGCATAGCTATTTAAGAGTCTGTTTTATATATTTAGTAATTTTTTTACTCAAAGAGATTGGTTTTGTAATTTCTTAATATCTATCTATTCTTTTTAATCATGCTTAACTAAAACTATGTTCATCATATATAAAGGTTTAACATTATGTAACTGCCTTTTCCTTTAGTGTATATGGTTACAGCATTAAAATAAATTTTTTCACAACCAATTTTCTAGTTTTTTTTTAATACCATTTCTTTATAGGAGTACTTTGTGAAGATTTGAATAAAAATATCTCCAGGTAATTTAATTCTTGGGACTTTTCCATTCCTCTTGAGTTGATTACCCATGAAGAATTTTATATTCTGGATAACATCCTTCCTTTTTCTGAAGTGATTGAATTGTGCTCTTTGAAAATCTAATCACTAATAAAAAGAGAAATAGAAATTAAAACAACTCATTATTTCACTTGACACCCAGTCAATTGCTAGTGAAGCAGTCAGTACTGGAAGACTGGGAAGAAAGGCACACTAAGGCACTGTTGGGGAACCCATGAAGTGGTCCAAACTCTTCAGGAAGACATTTTGGAATTATTCAGGGAAACTGATTAACTAACTATTCATGTCCTTTGAGCCAGTAATCCCACTAAGTTCATCACTTCTCATGACCTCCTCCTTTTCCCTATGTCAGCTATACACAAAGATGGTCATATGCTTGATCTTGCCATCACCCACAAATGCACTACCTCCGTGTTCAAGAATTTCAAAATACCTTTCTCTGACCATAATCTGTTGGCTTTCTACCTCGCCCTCTTCCTTCCCTTACCGAACCCCAGTTTTCCTCCATTTCCATTGTCTTCCAGTCCATCCACCCCTCCCTCAGTTCTCCTCCAGGCCAAATTCCATTTGAATTGTTTTAGGAAGATTCTGAAGATCACCTGGCAAGGTAAGGTACTGGATACTGAGGTCTTTTTTTGAACTGAATTGCCAAGCATTTAAACTCTGCTTCAGAGAGCACAGCTCTGATGTTTGAATGCTACACACAAGTTTGCCTAAAAGACTCCCAGAGAGCTCACACAAGGCAAGCATTCACAGAAGAAGCAACACTAGGATACTCTCAAGGTCTCTCTAAAGAACTTTGGAATCGATTGTGAGACATGGGAAGACACTGGTAAGGACCATCCAGCATGGCATGCCCCAAAGAAGGTACTGTTCTCTATCGCAATAGCTCAAAGCATAATTGCAGTAGCTCAAAAGAAACATGAGATGCACAAATTTAGAGCTATCTCCACTACAAATGTTTGCGTGGACTTTTTGTTCCAGCCTGCGAGAGCCCTCTCAACTTGAGATCATACTGGTCTGATCAGCCACGGGAGGACACCTTATACCTTGACACTCTTCAAGCACAAAGGACAACTATCATCCAGGCCATTTCTTCTTTACTAGCCACTCTCTCTTTTCCCTATTTTGACCCCTTAAGTGAACCAGTTCAACTCCACACTGTCCTTGAGTCCCTGGCTCTCTTATCATATTGCTGATTGCTTCCTGCTGATACCACTGGGCATAATAAACCCCAAGGAGGTCAAAGATAGAAATACACAACACAACTGAAATACACAACAGCACTTTCTGTGTTAGCAAAGAACTAGAGACAAAGCTGGTGCTCATCAATTGGCAAGTAGCTGGAAAATTGTGGTATAAGACTAATGAAATATTATTGTTCAGTAAGAGATGACAAATACAGGCAGTTCAGAACATTCTTCAGAACTGATGCATGATGCAGAGTGAAATCAACAGGATCATAAGGATGATCACTCAATGACACAATGTAAATGAAAAGAACACTAAAAGGAGGCCAGATTCTGAGCAACTGCAAAAACCCCAGTTGACCCCAGAAAATAGATAATGCAACATAATTCTATCTTTTGCAGAGGTAGGGGACTACATTCACAGAATGATACATATATTGCCATGTAAGATCGCTATCAGCTGTTTTCACATAATGAGTTTTTATGTTGTCCATTCCAGAGCAGAGGTAGATAGCCAAAAATACTATGAAAAAAGAAAAGGTATCAAAACTTTAAAAATCTAGTGTTCTAATTGGAGCAGACTAGCTTGTGTCTGCTCTGTCACAATTCTAAGATTACTGCTCACATCCCCTCAAGGTTCCTATCACTTTAAGTTCATCTAGTCCTTCATTTGCGATCAGATCTAGGATAGCCATTACACTTTTCATTTCATTCACCTCTGAAACAAGGAAATTATTGAAGTAGCAGAAATTTATAAGCTATTCTGCTTTTGGTAGACAACTCTAGCAAATACGGAACCAGCAGATCTAGGTTCAAATTCTGACCTTGCCACTATATGACAGGCAAGTTAACATCTCTGGGCTTCAGTTTTTTAATCTGTAAAATGATGTGGTTGGTCTAGGTCAGTGCTTTTTAAATTTTTTTTTTTTAGTTTTCAACATTCACTTCCACAAGATTTTGACTTCCAAATTTTCTCCCCATCTCTTCACTCCCCCCACCCCAAGATGTTGTGCATTCTAAATACCCCTTCCCCCAATCTGCTCTTCCTTCTATCATCCCCCCCACCCTTCTCTTATCCCCTTCCTCTTGTATTTTTAAGATAGATTTCTATACCCCATTTACATGCCAGTTGCATGTAAAAACAATTTTTAACATTTGTTTTTAAAATTTTGGGTTCCAAATTCTCTCCCTTCCTCCCTCCCCACCCACCCTTATTGAGAAGGTAAGCAACTTGATATAGGTTATACATGTGTTGTCATGCAAAACGTTTCCATAATAGTCATGTTGTGAAAAACTAACCATATTTCCCTTCATCCTATCCCACCCCCTGTTTATTCTATTCTCTCCTTGGATGCTATCCTTCCTCAAAAATGTTTGCTTCTGATTACCCCCCCTCCCCTAATCTGCCCTCCCTTCTATCATCCTCCTCCTCTTATTCCCTTCCCCTCTATTTTCCTGTAGGGTAAGATAGATTTCCATACCCAATTGATTGTGTATGTTATTCCTTCCTTAAGCCAAATCCGATGAGAGTAAGATTCACTCATTCCCTCTCACCTCCCTCTACCTCCCCTCAGCGCTTCTTAAACTGTGGGTCGTGACCCTATGTGGAGTTGCCATCCACGATTTAAGAAGCACTGAAGGGGTCGTGAGTGGAAAAAGTTTAAGAAGCCCTGTACTAGAGAACTTCAATATATGTATAGACTTTTCCTCTTAGTTCATCTACCAACTCACTTCTCATAACCTATTCTTCTACCCTACCTCAGCTATACACAAAGATGGTCATACCCTTGGTCTTGCCATCACCCAGAAATGTGCCACCTCCATGTTTGAGAATTCTGAAATTCCTTTCTCTGACCATAATCTATTGACTTTCCACCTCTCCCTCTACCTTCCCTTACCGAATCCTAGGCTTTGACCATACCAGGTCTTCCAATCTGTTGACCCCTCCAATTCTCTTCAGGTTCTCTTCCAAGCCATCACTCCTGCACTAGCCACTCTCTCCTCATTTCCCTGTCTTGACCCCTTAG